CATTTGTAATCATCAAAATTAAACAAAATAAACATTTGAAATATATGAGTTTGTATGTAATGTATGAATATAATATACAAGTTTCACTTTTTAAATGGAATTACTGAAATAAATCTACTTTTTCATGATATTCTAATTTTATGACCAGCACCTGTACACAGAAACAGGCTATAAAAAGCTAAATAAGGAATTAAAGAGTAAAATGCCAGAACAAGACCTCCATTGTTCAGAACATAAAGTTTTACACAGTTCTAGTTGGTGTCAGTAAGTTAACATAGTTACCAGACAGTCTTCTTTCCTAAAATATTTGAAGAGGATTAAAACCAAGATATCTTTTGGCCAGATTTGGGTTTTAGTTCAGTCTTGTTAATAATAAAGTGAAAGCTGACACCAACACATGCCAGTAACACATGCCCAGGAGAGATAAAAAACACCATCACTTCCACTAAATCACACCACAGAATGTGTGCTCTCTTGTGATTCATCGTTTTTTTCTGTGTCAGTGAGACATGCATATACATCCGTTAGAGAGAGAGAGAGAGAGTGTGTGCGTACGTGCGTGCATGTGTGTGTGTGTGTGTGTGTGTGTAGGCTGATGGGTGTGATGAACACCAGGGGAGATTTTTACATGCTCTGTATCAGTCTGGGAAGCTGTCATTTACTCAGATATACACAGAGTGTTTGCAGCAATGCCGGAGGAGCCTAAATAGACCTGTTGGCAGGATTTTGACCATGTGATTACCATCCTACCAGAGACCTAATTCTAACTGTTCACTTTTAAAATTGCAGCCTGTCAGGAAGTGCAATTTCCTGCTCAAGACACTGATTCAGCAGCATCCAGCTGTTACACGTGTTTGTATAAGAAGACAGGAGACAGATAACATTTGGTGATTGTGTCGGTCTGTTTTAAATACAGTAACAAGTGTCCACCTCCATGGATGTTTTACTCTTATGCTTATAAACAATTTCTTGTTTTTTCAGTTTTGTTTCATTCATAAAAACAAACTCTGTATACAGTAAAATAAAAATAAAAAGTACATCATTCTGTGAATGAAAAGAGTGCCGATTGAAGAAAAATATCTTATCATATCTGCTCCCCGTTTTCATTCCACAAACCTATTATGGATTTCAGTACATCGCCCTGGATTAGTTCAAAATGGAAGTTTTCTAAAAATCTCCGTTCCCTTAAGGTGATAATGACTTCCTCTTCCTTAACAAATTTTAACTGAATATTTGAAGGTAATATATTTTATGAGCTTTATACATTACCTGTAAAATAGTATAATCAGTCAAATCATGAAATTTTGATCATTTTAATTGATTAAACAATGTATTTGTTGGATGACAACAAATACATTGCATAAATCTCTTTTTTTGGTCAAACAAAAATAGGATTTGTAAAATCAGTCATGTTGTAAATCAATCCCAGTCAGTATATATGAGCCTTCTTTACATAAACATCTTCGATGTCTAAAATCAAAAGTCTGAAGAGTAATACCAATTAAATAAAAATGTAATCTAAAATAAGTGATTGCAAAAATGGTCCACCCCCTTTAAACTGACTGTTTTATTTAAACTCAGAGAGAAGATTATTGAAAAGTGCAAGTCAGGGTGAAGAAATTTATAGTTATTAGAGGTTAGTACTGATGTTAAAAGCACAACACTATATTTTTAGGTTTTCCTCTTTGTAATGTTGACAATGTTTAATCTATTATGTTTGATTGATATAGATTAGTTACATGTCCGAATTATATAACAACACATAATTAAACGTTGTGATGACATTAGCTGAGAATTTTGTCTGAATGCCTGTGATTCAGCCGTAGGTCAGTAGGGGGCGAACGCAGGCATTGAAGAACCTGTATAAATTGATGAACTTCCTGGTTTTTCGCCAGTGTTGGTTTCCTGTCAGCTTGGGTGACAATAAACCTCAGTCAGATCCAGAATTCTGGTGTTGTATGGTTTGATTCCTTCTACAGATCATTTTATTTAACAATGGTGTTTWTAATATCGACTTCAGTTTTCTTACAAGCGGATGGATATAAAAGGAATTCTGAGGTTCTAACCGTCCCCAGGAGTTCTGTTAAATCCACAAATCAAGAATTGGAAGAATAATATTAATTTATTCATCTTTATTTAACCAGATAAATCCCATTGAGATCTTTTTTTTTTTCCAAGGGAGGCCTGGGCCTGAAGGCAGCCTAAAATGCTTGTTTTTGTTCTGTGAGAGGAAACCGGAGTACCTGGAGGAAACTCATGCAAGCATGAGAAATGTGCAAACTCCATGCAGAAAGACCCATGGTCTGAACCGGGGATCAAATCCAGGACCTGCTTGCTGTGAGGCAACAGTGCAAACCACTGAGCCATTGTGCTGCCAAACAGAAAAAGGGTACATGTGAATCTACCAAGAAGCAGGCCATCCTCACAAACTGAGTAACTCTGAAGCTCTTACAAGCTCCAACAGAAAGATGGGCGAGAGAGAGTTCTTCTCCGGTCTTAGCTTTATGTGAGTGGCAAAAAGGAAGACACTGTTGAAGAAAACGCAACAGAAAAAGATTAAACTTTGAGCAGAGTCTCTAAACAATCTAGACAAACTGGTCGAAATTTCTAATAAATTTTGTTCAACAGTGTCTTTCTCTGTGCCTCTCTAACATAAAGCTTGGACTAGGAGAGCGTGATTTGCAGCACTGCCTATTGCGTCCCACGTGTTGGGTTGTACCCTGGTTGCGATGGCAGCCATTAGTTGTTCTTGTATATCGCTCCCCGTGTGTCGAGCCCAAAACGGAAAAGACTAGCTTTATAAGTTTTCCTGTCATGTTTTTTTTGTAAATGGGTGATCATTATTAAAGAGTGAARCGTTGATTAGAGCATGCTAGTAGTAGCCTGTTTACTTCAATAGTCTAACTTCCAGCTTTAAAGTTTGATTTTTCTCTCAAATCCATCAGGRTTACCTTTAAAGACCTTTACAACTAGACTATATAATAATGCCTGCATAGTTCAGCTGTAGTTTTTATTAAATCTGGTATAAACTACTTACAGTGTTTTTTTACATGAACATGATCTTTTCTCTTGTCCTAAAGTTCCAAAATAATAATAAACATTAAAATTTGTTAAATATTTTTAGTTTTAGATTGTCATCCCCCACTGGATAGAAAAGCCCCTCTTCACCAAACTAAAGTGGTCCATGAGCCTCCAGTGGATAATCACAGTTGTAGCACATTTTGTAGCACCAGACACATTTTATTAGTAAGTCAAGGAGTAGAAATGATGGCTAAAAACGAAACGTCAGCTGCAGAAATTCATGGATCCTGCATGTTTTTCTGTCCAATGCTCCCACCTTCTTGTCAGGCTCTTTTAGTTTCTGGTATTTGGCATCAGGCTGGTATTTATATGATGCTTGATTTCTTTTGAGTGGTAGAGCCACGTCAGYGTTTCTGCAGAATTAAATAAAGGCCTTTCTTCACTTGGAGTGCTCCACACTTCTGTTCCTTCCTTTCGTGATGCAGCTCARTCTGAGCATTTCATTAAAAACAGTTCAGATGGTTCTGATGCAGATAGATACCTACCATATTGTAAACACTTTTAGGAACGGTTGATACTAAACATTGATAGACGAAGGTCTCATATCTGTATGCAGTCGTGTCAGTCTACATGCTGCTCATTTCATGCTGTTATTATGCTACTGTTTGCAGCTTTTTATGTCATCACACTCTTAACGGGACATTCTAGTCCAGGGGGGTGGGGGGTCCAATCCTGGCCCTCAGAGGGCCACTATCCTACATGTTTTACTTGTTTCTCTGCACCATTACCTGATTCWGTGACTGCATTACTTCTTCAAGTGCTGCAGAAGCCTGCTAATCATTCAAATCAGGTGCATTAACAAGTAAAACAGGATAGCAGCCCTCCAGGATAACCCATCCCTGTCAATATTCTGTTAATAACCTGCGTCTTTTTACAGACTTTATTTTATTTACAAAGATGGTAAAAAAGCTATCTTAATATAAAATTTACAGACAGGCTGAAATTGTATCTCGCTTTTTTGTAATGCAAACTCATTAGCTAGCAATGTTCAAAATGGGATTTTACTTGTAGCTTTGACAGTGAAAGAATGTCTAATGATCTTGAATGGACATGCTTTATTTCCTCTGATTGTATAAAAGCTCACAACCACGTATGCAGATCTCCGAATTTATCACACAAAATATATAAATTAGTCATTACACATTCTATATGCTGACACAGTAAAATACAGTTATTATCAACCTTTAATACCTGATTTAATGATTTTTTTTTCTCCCTTCTCCTACCCTTCCCTATTTCCCTCGTTACCCTCTGTTCTGGCTTGCAGGTGGCGTCCTTCTGTCACATTCACCCCTGACAGCCTGAGACTGAAGGGGTGAAAGAGAGTACGACAGCAAAGGGATCTCAGGGCGCACACTTGTAAAGAAAAGGAGGTGGTCTGGGGTCAGTCCCCTGCTATTCTGCAGCTGCGCTAGAGTCAGCAAGCTTTGCAAGGAGAGAAGTTTTTCTTTCTGCATCTCGTGACCCAGTGGATGAATCAAGGCCAGAGCAATGTAAAGCCTTCACTGGCCTCAGATTGGGCCCCTGGGGCTGGTCTTTGGAGGTATTTGTGATAACCCTGCTGAATCTTTTGCTGTCACTATCCTCCACAGTTGTCATTAGTAGCTAATGAGCTGCTGCCTGAGGGGAAAGAGAGAATGTGCCCGTGGAGAGCGGCAGGACCGTACAGCTGTTATTAAGAGGCCCATCAATCTCTAACAAGAAATTCTTCGCCTTTTCAAAAGACTCAAACCCTTTGAAACCATGAGCTTTGAACATTTGAAAAGATTGCAGCTCTGAAAGTTATTTTTTGCCTTTTTTTCTCCAAGTTCCTAAATATGAATATATTATTTTTGTGTCAGCATTGTCTGTTTAAAAATGTCACCCTTCTAATTCCCTGAATAAAACCGATCACTATGGCAGCAGCCTATCGTGTAGTTGTGAGCAGCGTCAGCTGCTACAACAGTGTGGTGGTGGACCGACGCAGTCACTCCCAAGCTGTGCACTACTGCTCTGGACCATGTGGGGCGCTGTCCCAAGGCTTGGACTGCACAGTTGCGCACCGTGGAACTTGCTCTGAGCTTCTTGTTGTCCCTGAATCTGTCTACAATGACTATAACAACTCGCCCGTACACTCCCGTAACATGATCACTCAACAACACCCGAACCATGGTAAACTTTGTGTTGCCATGGATAACATTCATAATGGTTGTCTAGAGGGGGTGACCAGCAGTGGAAATTTGTCTTCAGGGGAGGACAGCCCGACGTGGCGTGGTAAAAAGACCCCCAGTGGAGCAGGATCGACTGGGAACTTGAGCTCTTCTGGGAGCCTAAAAGACATTACAGAAGAAGCCATTAATCTGGCCAGTGGCAAGCTCAAAGAGTTTTCTTTTGACAAGCTGCGTCTGACCTCCTCTAGTCACGTTACCCTCCGCAAAGGTCGTAAGGTCCGTCCTGACTCTTTCAGCCGTCGGTCCACTGACCTGGACATCATCTATGGCCACTTCAGCTCCAGTCTCACCACAAACACAACAGCTAGCAGCATCACAAATGGCTTGACTATGGTTAATGATGAGAACCTTCCACCTGTTGTGTTTGGGAAAGGAACGGGAATGGAAGAAGCAAAGCTCAAGGGCAGCTCAGGCACATTGTCAGCCAGTACCAAAGTGAGCAGTGGCTCGACAAGCAGCCTCTCGAGTATGGGATCGCTCAACCAAAGTCTGAACACAGTGGCCTCCTTGTACCGCAGTACCCTGGGGGAGGAGAACTTAATTGCCCGATTGCTGGAAAAGACGCGAGCAGAAGCAGCCACTGGAGGAGCGGGAGGGGAGGACATTCGTGCGTGTCTTGACATCTTGCTTAAATGTTCTGAAGACCTAAAGAAATGCACAGACATCATCAAGCAGTGCATCAAACGCAAGGCTGGCGGAGGACCAGAGGATGGAGGAGCGAGTCCTGACAGTGTTTATCGGGCTGTCATGACCCGACTTAGCTCCTACCTGAAGAGGTTGCCTTTGGACCTGGAAGGGATTGGAAGTTTGGGAGTCAGTGGACCGGGAGGTCAAGGGACACCTGGAAGTGGACACAGTGATCTGGCTGAGCTGGTAAACACTCTTCACTCCATCCAGCAAGGACCTTTCTCTCCAATATTTGGTAATGAGCAACCTCCCCGATATGAAGATGTGGTACAGTCACCTCCAATCCCAAAGACTGTTTCACACTCTTCCTCTCCTTCAACGTCTTTGTCTTCACCCACATGTTCAAAATCAGATTCCATGTACACCAAATCAGTCCAGAGCTCAGCTCAACCTAAAGGTCCTTCATTTGCCAATGGACTACAGTACCCACATACCTCTTCTATCACCCAGCACACTCTTTCTCCACCATCAGTTACATGCTCTTCTTGTAGTTCCTCGCCAACACACTCCCCATCCTCTCTTCGCAACTCGCCAACCTCACCCTACACACACACTCCCCCAGCATCCCCCATGGAGGCTCTTTATATTGAGGAAGAAGAGGCAGACATGGGAAAGACTCCAGAACATATCTCGCTGCAGACACACACACAGAGCAGAGGGGCGAGCACAACCCAGAACAAAAATGGGACTACGTTGGGGCAACACCTGCACTTGTCTCCATCCAACACACTTTACAATTCTTCAAATAATTTGCCAGTCAGCTCTGGCTACATTCCCTCTTGGCCTCAAACTGCCTCGCCAACAGTCTCAACACCCAAAGCTATGTCACACAGGAATGACGACATTGACAAGCTTCTAATGGACTTGGAGAACCTGTCTCAGAGCATGAGCCACCCCAGAACCACAGAACCTCCGCTTCCAGCTAAAACCAGGAAGCGTTTGGGTGGCCAAGGGATTATCTCCAACGAGTCTTTAACTCACTCCCAAACGACCCAGTTTCAAGCTCAAAAACCTGCCAGCTACCAAAGTGTGAATGGTCTTAGCTCTGGCACGACCCAGAGTGTCACTCATCCCCAGGGAGAGAACAATGAAGCTGGAGGGGCTGGAGATGAAGAGGATGGGGCACTTTTGCTAAGAATTCTTGAGAGCATTGAGAGTTTCGCCCAAGAGCTGGTGGACTCTGGGGCGGGGAGTACAGGAAGTGCTGAGAAGAAATGCGGGAAGGAGCGGGAAGTGATGAGATTATTGCAGGATACACTGACCACCGCTGGTCGGGCCGATACTCCTGAGAGCGCAAACCCACCAGCTATCTCTACTGCTCCCTTCATGCACACAATCCTAGTCCCAGATACAAAGACAAAACCCACAGAGGAAAATACACCTGTGATTTCACTCGCACCAACACCCATACCAACAGTACCTGAACCTGAGTCTGATGTCATAGTAGAATCTGAACTTAAACCCACACTAAGTGTCTCTCCTGAGCTTCTATCTTTGCCTACACCAGTGCTAGATGAAATTACAGAAGCTCCTGCAGGTGAACCTGTTCCAGAAACATGCGTACCTTCAAGGTTCCATAAGTCAACACACGGAGACGGACCTACAGCTGTGGTCTTACCTGAACCTCCAGCTCCTATTGCTACCCCAACCGCCGAAGCCATAAGAGATGTTGCCATTGATGTTGGTGAACCTGCTGCTACGGGAGACGGTGGTGCAACACTTCTGATCCAGCAGACTCCAGAGGTGATCAGAGTAAGTAACTAATGTCCAATTAAATAAGCTGCTGCTGTACAGTATTGTCTTGGCCAGGTCACTCTTGGAAAATAGGTTTTTAATCTCAGTTGTTTTCCTGGTTAAATAAAGGATACTACTATTATATTCAATTGCACTTGTATGGAGTCCAGGCATAGGCTTTAAATGTGATACTACTGATTTATTTTCACATTTTAAAGTATTACTTTTGAAATGCTACATACTGTTTGTTTTGGAAGACCATGAATCTGTAAATTGTGGTAAATGAAACCAAGTGTCCTTGCAGTGAGAGAATGGCTCTGAACGGCTTTGCTGAGTCCTTTTCATGGATTTTATAGAACAACTGTATGCTATGCATGACGATGGTAATTAGGAGCCCCTTTCACTAGGGAGGGGACTCTTTAGGGACCTTTTGATTTGATTACGATTCAGAGGAATATGATGCGATTATAAGACGATTATCGAATTATCCTAATGCATACAAAATAACACCCCTGAGCTCTACACTGCAGTATAAAATAGTTTTCTTTAAATCCTTTGTGATGAATTTTCTCTGAAAATAACTGACAAAGTAATTATTGACAAAAATAGATCAAAAAGGGTGTCAGTTCATTAAAACATTTGATGATTTTTTGAGGTGCTTAAAAATGTGCCTGTGAATCTTTAAAAATAAAAACCTTTCAGTCTTTCTGTAAAATAACCTTCCTCACATTTGTTTCACGAGTTAAAAACAGCTTCTCTTTTTGTAAAATAGAAGTAAATGTAGTGTAAAACTGTTGTGTTGTGTTTTATTTGACTCACTGAATGGTGACGATGAGGATGATGAAGCTTGACGCTGCAGCCTCACTTTTTTAGTTGCCTCGTTRGAAACGGCTTATTTTTTCTTCTAAAGCTCAGCTGGAAGCTTTCACCTGCTTCAGCGCTGAGTGAACAGACTTTAACCGTGATATCAGGTTTTGAAAAGGTTTTACCTAACAAGCCCGGCTTGTCTCGCTTCTCCTGAAAGGTTTTCACATAGAAGTTACAATGATTTTGTTTGTTCATAGACAAAATCTAAATCAAAACTACATAATAGAATAATTGCACAGCCCTCTTTGAACATCTAAGTCAGCCATCTTGTCTCTGTTTTCGTACCATATACCAGGACTATTCAACTAAATTACTCAGGGGGCCACAGTTACTGAAAGCCAACAGCTCATGGTCCAGACATCCAGCAATGAAATAAATACAGTCTACTTAATTTTTTGTCTAATTTAAATATATATTTTTATTATTTAAAATCAAGCCATTGGCAGGCASATTGAGTTGCATATCCTCATAGATCATCTATATAACAGGACTGACACTCTGACTAAAATATTTATCATTCACGTAAAACAAAAGTAAATTAATTTAAAAAAATTATGAACCCATCGGCAGGCAGGGTTGAAGTCATCTGCTGGCTGGAAGTGACCTGCGGGCCGCCTGTTGAATATCCTTGCTATAAGCTGCGCAGCAAGACGTTATTAAAGCCAAACAGTCATTGATTTTAGACATTTTAAAATTGATTCAGAATCATTTATTTTTGCATCATGATGTATTAAAAAAGATTATAACTCCCACCCCTATGTATCAGACAATGGTTCTGCGATATGACTGCAAAAATGGTCCCCATCAATGGGTGAGGAGAACAATACTCAACACCATTACCATGAGTACCGTGTCTGCCCAAGGATTCTTCTGTGACTTCACAACCCCTAGATATTTTAAAAGTTAAAAGGAAATTTTTTCTTTCCATTGTTGCCTCAGTGTTTGCTGAGGATGAGGACTGCACTTGGTTTCTTCAATAACTTTTAACTGCTAACTRTTTGTGTGGGTGAGGGGGGCTATCTTTGAGGCTATGTCCAGAACACGGCTGCCATCTTGAAAGGGCAAGTTTTACCAAAGATAGGTCCCCTCACCATTACTTGCTAATTTGAAATGCTCTGTACTTCTTCATATAGTGCCCTGAGATGACTTTAGTGTTTAGTTTTAGTTTTAGTTTTACTCTAAGCTTATCACGTTTATGGTCACATCCTACTCATGAGGTCAATTCTCCATGACCAAGCCACAGTGGTGCATTCTGGTCCCACCAAAGATATTCTGTCACCATAATAATAATCTTGCTGCAGAAGTTTTGTTAATACTCATAACTCTTTACACTCTATCACTTCCTAATGTGGAGCCCACTGTATTTTTAATACACAAACCCTTGTCTGTGCTTTCATATCTGGTTGATTAGATTACTGTAATGGATTAATGCAAGGTCTGCCAAAAAACACAAAATAGCAGCATATTTTTTCATTCATTCCACTGGTTACCAGTTTATTACAGAACAAAACGTTTGTTTTTGTACATAAATCTCTGAACGGCTTAGCTCCACAGAACTTAATGGACCATCTTATTCATGAACCGCCCGGACCTCAACAGGCCCAGAGTCATTACTTGTTCCATAAATCGGGACCAAACGGGGTGAAGCTACTTTTAGTTTTTATGCCCCTCACATGTGGAACAAGCTGCCCGTAGAGCTCAGACATGTTTCTGACCAAATTTAAATCTAAATCAAAGACATTCTTATTTTCTATTGCTTTGAGCTAATTGGTTTTAAAGGGGCAATATTATGTGTTTCTCAGGCATATATTGAAATACTATAATATAATAAAGTATCTATGTCACCTTTATCTGTTATTAAAATGCTGTTTTTATTTTTAAATAGAAAATAAACTTACCTTCTCATCACTTACTCTTTAAACGCCTTGAAATTGGCCTCTGTCTCTTTAAGAACCACCTTCTGCTTCTGTCTCGCCCATTTCAGTGCGGGGCGGTCGCGCACGGGGTTGGGGGGGGGGTCGCTCGTGCGCTATGCAGTTCACTTGGCATCTGAAAATACATTTCCTCAAAGGTATTTTGAATCTGAAAAGAGCTTCACTGAGTGAGAAGTAGTGCAGCAGACAGTTTAAGTTTCACTTTCAGTTTCACTCGTTTGCTTTGTTACTGTCGAGAGCCTTCAGGAGTCATGGGCGGGGTGTGGGGAGGTGTGCTCCATGATGAGGAAGTTCAGCTTAAAGACACGTCCCAGGGGCGTTTCTGGTCCTCTCCTGTCATTTTGCTCCTCAGCATGTCTTCCTAAAAAYGCTGCAGGATTTCTCAAACATGCATGAAAGAGTCAAAGCAAGKYTTTGGRCATGTTTTTTATGAGAGTATAACATTATAACCTGATATAAAACTCAAAAAAGTTGATTTTACATGATATTGCCCCTTTAAACTATTCAGTACTGCTTTTATTGATTTTCTATTAAATTAATGAAATTTGTATCTTGGTTGGTGTGTATATACTGTATATACTTGTATACGTTAACATTTTTGGACTGTTTCTGGTATACACACTTACCTTGTCAAGACCAGTGGTTTTTATGGGAAGCAAAGACCAGTGTTAATATGGTGGAACTCCATTTTTGGGGTGGTTTAGGACTAAGGTATAAATTGAGTTTAGGTTTGCTTTAGGGTAAAGGATCAGGTTTGGGCTATAGAAACAAYTGGAAATGAATGGAAGTCAAAGAGTGATCCTWAKAAGGATAGAAATACAAACTTGTGTGTGTGTTCCAGCATTCGCTAACTTGTATAGCCCATTTATCCCAAATAGATTACTTTGTGAGGACCTACTGCTCCGTATGGGGCCCAAAGCCCCTATAAGTTTCTAAATTRCCCTTTTTTTCAAAACTTTTAGAGAAGGTTGTTTTTATTCARCTRCATGAGCACCTATGTCTTAATGATATTTATGAGAAGTTTCAGTCTGGTTTTAAGTCTTGTCACAGCACTGAAACTGCACTTCTCAGGGTGTGCAATGATTTATTTTTAACTGCTGACTCTGGTGATTCTACTGTTTTAATTCTTCTTGATCTTACTGCTGCATTTGATCCAGTGGATCAGGACATTTTAACATCAAGGCTGGAGACTTCTGTTGGTATGAAAGGTACAGTTTTAAAATGGTTTAGATCCTACTTGTCTAACAGAAGCTTCTCGGTCCAGTTGGGACAACTTTTTTCATCTGTTGCTCACCTTCAGTATGGAGTACCTCAAGGCTCCATATTAGGGCCAGTTTTATTTTCATTGTACTTGCTCCCCCTGGGATCTATTTTTCGCAAATATAACGTGTCATACCATTTTTATGCTGATGACATTCAGGTCTATCTTCCATTAAGATCTAGTGGATCCCAGTCTGTAAATAGGGTAGGTTACCTGAATGCTTAAAAGATAGAAAGCACATGGATGGACCTGAACTTCCTTTATCTTAATGATAAAAAGACAGAGGTCATTTT